TTCTAAAAGCACTGTAACACTTTGTTGCAACTGAGAAATGCAAAAATTTGTCTAAAAAAAAAAAAAAATCATGGGCCTGACTGAAGGCCTACTCCAGCTCTCTTCAGTCCACCCTGGGGCAGAGCTCCCCGTGACTATTTAACATGAGTTTTGCAGAAGCACAACTTTATGCCACATTTTGATACTCTTACTTGGACTGAGTAGGAGCTTGTCATGAAAATGGTCCTGTTCCAATTACAAGGATAAAACACAATTTAACACAATACGCCAAAAGCAGTGCTATTGAAGCCAAATTGCACACACATACTTCAAGATATAGTTTATTCATGATATTTCATATCTCCAGGGCACCAGACACTATGAAAAAAAGCAACAATTAGTTTATGCATTCCTGACAGAAAAAAGAAGTAAAGCAAAACACAAAGAAAATCCTACAGCAAAGAACAGTGACCATCGACACAGGGGGCAAATCCAGGATTTATTTTCAAGATCTCTTCAATTCCAGTTTCCTACACTACAACACCTCATTAAAAGCAGCTTTTACCAAGACCTACCTTCCTTCCAAATCTGAAAGACAAGCTTTACTGTTAAACTTTAACACTTCATGATGGACGTGACCTTTCATTCCTTTCCCCTACATTCAGCTAGTAGATTTTCTTTCCACGTTACCAAACACAGGTATTAACTAGACCAGTATGTGACAAAGAAAGATTTACCTTTGAGCCACTATCCGTAACATTTATTTTGTAGTTAGAGAAAAAGAATCCTAACAATACAGCAAGGGAAAAGCTGAATACAGAGCCACACAGAGTATGCAAGTTACATGCTCCAAAAGGGCTCGAGAATTTTGCAGTGTGCATTTTTTCCTCTCTGCATTGGTATTCACTGGGCTGCCCCAAACACTTTCCATGAAAAGGTGACCATTAATTAATGTTTTTGAAACCTCCAAGTGACATCAAGTGCTGGCATTATATCTTGGAAAACTGAGAACCATTTTATTTATAAATAACGAAGTTAACTCAGCATTCAATCTGTATTTTACTTCTCCCCTTCTTTATTTAAGGCTACTGTGCCAAAAAGGATTTTTAAAGTTCCTCAAGAATTTCTCTTTTGCTCATCTGTCCCATAAAATTGCTGCCCTCAAAAGCCACATGACTGTTTCCTCACTTACAGACCTTCTAGAGATAAACTTCTGCCATGATGTCTCTAACACTTCAGGCAAATAATTATGGTCACATAATGGAATGGTTGTAGATAAATTATAAGAACAAAAAAACCCAAAGTACTAAAAAGAATGTGCAAGGCCTCACCTTGACCTCTCTATTCTACATCATGTCCTTCCGCAGGCTCCTGGCAAGAGTTTGTTGTTATATGCACTGTTATCAAAGTATTTTGAACATTATTAAATGATATAGGGGCTAATCTACAGCCTCGATGAGGAGATCTGCAATCTATTGCTTGCCCTTAAGCATTATTTCACTTTGGGCAACTTTTTCTTTTACCTTTCCGTGAAACAGATTCTTCATCTCTGACAGAGGGGTGATAGTCGTCTATCTTTCCAAGCTCTACAAGCCCTGTAAATCCAGATATATTTTACTTAAACATTGATGATATCCTGACAATCCCAACCCTTACAGCCCTGAAAGCAACTACAATCCAAGAGGAGCAGGTCCTAAGGTTTCCTTAGCTTCTACTTTCATCTCCTCCAAAACCCATTCCTTTCCTCTGAAGGGACCTCAGGAACATTTCTGAGGTCTGACATTTTTGCAGGTATGTTTTTTCTTTTGTTTCCCTCCACTCAAGGAGAACTAGAGCCTTTCTGCATGCAAATTGTCAGGCCTTTGTTTTCTCCATGCTGTGCCTTTACATTTTGAAGGCATCTGTCTTTCTGTAGCAGACCAGGTGTAAAGAAAGTCAAATGGAGGTGGCAGTGATTTTGTAAGATGAGCAGTTGGAGCATGTTAGAGAGGACACATGTGCAAACAGCCACATGCACTGTGTGCTCTGAAAAGGGCTTTACCTTTGGGTCTTCTTTTTCTTAATTTAAAATTCAAATCATCCAGACTGAAAGTATATAGCTGTTCCCTGTGTGCAGAAAGCATTTCATTTCAAAAACCAAGAGAGAGAATAATAGGACAAATCCTGCTTTCAGCTGCATCAATA